CCACAAAAACCAAGAGAAACTCCATGATCTTGTTTAGTTGTAGAATTTGAAGGAAGGCATTCAGTTTGGGGGAAGATGACTGGTTGAGGTCTCCCCCCTCCCCCCAAAGCTCTGGTAGTGGAAATATCAACCAACATAGTTGGAAGGGGGGGGGGCGCCTACTACTACTACTACTACTATTATTATTATTATTACTACTACTACGACCACGACGACGACGACGACGACGACTACTACTACTATTACTCCTACTACTCCTACTACTACTACTGCTACTACTACGACGTATCGATTAGGCATGTGACGGTGTGATTTTCTCCACTTCACCTTGTTGAACCTGGGGGTTCGCACGATTTTTTGAGCAAAGTCATCCTCGCACTTTTTTGCTTGATCCATTATTCCAAGGTTCGCCCCATCAGTGCAAGGTTGTGAGGAGTTCTGGTTTAGATTTATTTATCGTCGCCCCAGTAGTCCAGGGTTCGCCTCATGAGTCCAAGGGTTTGAGGCGTTATAGGTTTGAAGAATGCCCACGGTTCGCGATTTTTGCGCGGCGTGCGAAGTTCGCAATGCTGGGAAGTTGAGCGAGGTTCGCAATGTTTTTTGAGGTATGCGAGGTTTGCGCTCTTTTTGGAGGCATTCGACTGTTGCGATCTTGCGTTTGTGTTCGATGGCTCGAAACCTGCTATAACACTAAGCAACATGATGAGCTTTGCGGCTTTTTTCCGGTGTCATCACATAAGTATCCAGGACTTGACCAGCTTTGTCCTAAAGATTTTTGGCCCCACAACTCCTATAAGATTAAACAGCATCATGAGCATAGCGGCTTTTTCTTGGTGTCTTCCCATAAGTCCACGGGTTGACAAGCTTGTTCCTAAATATTTTGGGCCCCAAAACTGCTATAAAAGTAAAGGCGCTTCATGACCGCCTACTCCTGCAACCGACATGTCCGACATTCTTCGCTGCTTCTATGATACAACATGGTACAGCAAGGTGGCTCGCGAGAAAAACCGTTTTATGACCGACAATGACAAGTTTATGAACCTGCCAAAAAAAAGCGCCGAACAATACCAGGCCAATTGCAAAGCACTTAGACCAGAAACTGCTGCAAATTACAATCTTCATGCCTTGGCAAGCTACGAAATCATACCGTCACGAACGCGAC